TGGCAGTTGAGGGAATGATCTGGAGAGGGTTAGGGAGACAGTGGGGGTCCCAGGGGGGGCCCAGAGACCTGTGTGTTGCGCCCACTGCCTACTTTGTCCACTGGGACGAAAGAGAACCAAAGTGACTCTCAGGATTCTGTGGCCCCTTAGGAAGAATGGTCACTCTGGTCCTACCCAGAGGTCTGGACCAATAGTTTGCCCAGTATTCTCCAAGTTGGTGGAGATAAGCAACCCAAAGAGCTGGGAGACAGACCAGCAGGGTGTCGCAGGTATCCACAAAGAAGACAAGGGCATAACTGTGGTGCCCTGCGGAACAGAGGGGTCAGGGCCGTGACTGGAGTCAGGTTTGGCACTGGACACATCTGAACCCAAGGTAGAAACCCTGGGTTCTGAAAGCCAGCGAAAGCTATTAAACAGACATTCATCCCAAGTCCATCTCCAGGCAGTCTGGGCTGTGTCAGGGCATGGCCAAATCTCCAGCTGTGGGGAGGCCCAACACAGCCCTTGTTCCAGGCACCCTCCACCCCCAGCGCCACCACCCCCACATTCTTTCTTTGTTGTGAAAGCAGCAAGGGGTGTGGGAGGCGGGTCAGGAGAAGTCAAGCTTTAGAAGATGGGCCCCAGCTGCTGACAGGCCTCCAGGATATGCAAGAGGGGATGGGTAGTGCCTTGTCCCCCTTCTGGCTCTGGAGGGCCCCCCAGGCCTGCTTAGACCTCCCTTCCCCCAAGCAGCTGGGAGGAGGAAAGGAAGCCACAGAGGGCCTCACAGGCAGGAGAAGTGGCGCCAGGACTCCAGGGTCCTGCCACATGGCCACCACATGTCCCTGACAACCCAGTCCACAGCACCTTCTCCTTGGAGGCCTCCTTTCCCCATCCCCCAAGATGCCTTCCACCAGGCCCTGCTAAAGAGGGTACAAACACAAGGAGACACACTGGAAAAAGCCAAGGATTCAACAGGCCTGCTGCTCCACCTAGCACTCCTCACCCTCTGTCAAGAGCCCTAACACACCATGCTTCAGTCAAGACGCAAGTAGCAAAAGGTTACCTGATTCTTTTATTAAAGAAACATCGTGAAATACATGGACCTGATGTGAGGCAGCAGAGGGCAGGGGATGAAAGAGACCAGCCCCAAACCCTCTGATAGAAAAATCAGCAGCAGGCTCATCCTGGAGGTGCATACCTGCTTTTCACCCACATTGGGGGCCTCAGTGAACTACTCTACAGGACTACAAAGTAGAGAGCCTATCCTGAGGCCCTTCCTGAGGAAGGAGCCTTGACCCTAGAGCCGTCTTCCGTTTAAATTGTTCCTTCTTCACCTTCCCTTTGGCTTGGGGAAGACACAGGAGCGATAGGGAATGCTGTGGGGACCCAGCAGATAGGAAAGTGGGGGGGGATGGGTTAGGGGGGTGTTTGAATGTCAGCTGCTTGAAGAGAGGTCCATCGTGCTGGCACTGAGGCCCCAGGAAGCCTGAAACAGATACCACCAGCCACCCCATGAGCACTGGAAGCTCCTGGAGCCTGCCTGTCCCACAGCTGCAGTCTCCCTGGGGACATAGGATGGAACCTCCAACCTCCATACAAACTCTAGGACATTGCTTAGCCACAATCTGCTTGCTGGAGGAACTACCAGGAAGAAACCCAAGAATACTGGCTTGTACTGTGAATGAGCTGACACAGGCCAATGCAATGAACAGCATTGCCTTTTTCTCAAGAGATTTTTGTTGTTCCTTTTTAATTCCTTATTAAGAACTCAAGGTAAGGAATATGCTAACTATACAAGACAGAACCACCTGCAACTCTAAATCATTCTGAAATTATTACTAATTTCAAAGTCCCATTTTGGAGGGCATCAGTGGCTGGTACTCTCCTGATTAACTTGT